TTTGTTTGTTTATTTTATTTTTTTTTTTTGTTGTTATTTGTTCCTTTTCCCAGCCTATTCCTCAACTTTTAACTCTATGATACAGTGAGACCCCAGACCTGGGATAGAAAGGGCACTGTCCCAAGCTTCAGGCCTTTCTTGCAGTTGCTCTCAGAGCTAGTTCTGGGCAAGTTTTCAGTTTTTCCTAGGTGGTATGATCTAAGGAGAGGTGCAGTTGCTGTTCTTTTGGCCTGTGCTCTAGTCTGTGAGCAACCATAAGCACTCTTTTCCATCCTGGAACTGAGGCCAGGATCCCTGCTTCCCTGTGGCTGCAAGCTCTGGTGTGCTAGTGCTCCTCCTCACCCTGGGACCATGTCTGGAACCATGTATGGGCCATGCAACAGAGTTCTGCACAACAGAGCTAGCAAAGGGACCCCTGTAATCTCTTTATGACTAGTTGTCCAACCCCCTTACCATTTGTGGGATGAGTCTCTCTCTTCCAGAGTCACTGAAGTCCAGTGGCAAGACAAAAGTCAAGATGCCTGTCAATGGCCTGGGATGCAGTGGATGACCTGGGTATCTTCAATGCCTGACCAAGCTCTAAGTGTTCCATAACACCTGCTTCAGCTGTCTTCATGGCAGTTGGAACAGATTGTTCCCATCCAGCCATTCTGAAGGGGAAGTCTTCCCATCCTCGAGGTAGACACCTCCCTAATTCACCAATGGGATTTGAGGCCTGTCAGTTACCCTCAATCTTGTTTAGCCCATCTGCAGAGGTTTTACTGGGGTGTAGCTGACGTGCATGCTACAGCTTTTTGGAACCACAGGTGAGAATTGGGTGATAGGTAGACACTAAAGGTGGATGAGCCCTGAAAAGGGTTTGGCAAGCTCTCACATCAGAGGTGCTAGTGTACATTCACACACACACACACACACATACACACACACACACACACACACAGAGCTATATGAAACAAACACAAGGTGGTTTGGGGATGAGGTGTGCTAGCAGTTTGGGGGACCAGAAAAGGCTTCATGATGAAGATTTCAATTGGGTCCAGTCTTAAAGAAAACCAAGAATTTCAAGAGACAGAGCTTTAGAGAGACAACATTTCAGGCATAGGGGACAGCCAGGGCAAAAATCTAGAGGTAGGAGATAGGAGGATCTTGTATGTGAAAAAGCAAGCAGGTCAATATAGCTGGATTGTACTGCTTGTGGAGAAGTGTAAAGCTAAAAAGCCTGGAAAAGTAGGAAGGGATTTGATTGTAAAGAGCTTTCAATACCAAAAAGAAGTTTATGTTCAATTCTTAAGGAAAGAGATAGTCCCTGGAGTTCAAGTAGTGATGATAAAATGATACTTTAAGAAAATCACTTTGGCTGTAGTGTGGGAGATGAAAAGAAAGAGAAGAGACTTGAAGCTGGGAGAATAAAGAAGATGCTATTGCAGCAGTCTAATATAGATTTTATGAGGACAAGTAAAGTATAACAAGCCTGGAAAGAACAGTTGGAGTTATGTTTCAAAAGGCTTTAAATGCCAGAGAAGTTTGTATTTTATCCTACATAGGGATAGGGAGATACAGGAGATTACTGAATAGGGGAGTGACATGCTCAGATCTTCACTTTAGGAATATCAAGTTGGTAGCTATGTCAAAAAGGGATTGAAGATGGAAGGAGACCTCTGGTGGCAGGGTGATTAATTAGGAGGCTATTTCAGTAGTCGAGAGGTTAAACTATGACAGTGGCTGTGTGAGTGGAGAGAAGCAAACAGATGTGAGAAATTTTGAGATTGAGATTGAACAGAGAGGCCATAATGTTTGATTAAATACACAGGATGAGGAAAGTCAAGGACTCAAGGAACACTCCAAAGGTGTAAACCTGGGTCACTAGCAAGAATTCATAGCTTCCACAGAAACACATAATATGTAAAATAGATTTGCAAAGTGTGATTTCAGATCTAAAGGAGAGAGGGGAATGTTACTGAGGGCTTTATGGAGAAGGTGGCATTAGAGTTGGACTTTAAAGGACAGATAGGTATTCAGCAGGGGAAGAAGGACATTTGAGGCAAGCGCAAAGCAGAGCAGTGAGAGCAAAATTGTGGAGACAGGAGAGCACAAGGCCAGTGGGTGGTTTGGGGTGAGTAGAGTTTTCCTGTTTGATAGGAGCATGGAATGTGTGGCAAAGGAAATAGTATGTTAAAAGGCTATATAATAATTTAAGGGATTGTTATGTGCTTGGCACTGGGCTAGGAAACAATTTCTGCCATCAAAAAGCTTTATGAACTTTCCTTTAGGGCAGGTGGGTAAGAAATCTGTGATCAAGCACACAGAGCGATTTCTTTTCCATGTGGCAGCCAAAAAGTGATCTCATTGCTCATAACAGGAGGTACCAGTTTGGTACTGGGGACTGTAAGCCACAGCCAATCAGCTTTTACTACATTCTGTTTCTAGTGTGACCTGACAAGTAGCATCCCTCCCAAGACTATAATTCTAACAGAGGACACAGCAATCCATAAATTTAAAAAAATTATTATTAGGGCAGCTAAGTGGTAAAATGGTTAAAGCACTGGGTCTGGAGTCAGGAAGACTCATCTTCCTGAGTTCAAATTTGGTCTCTGACACTTCCTAGTTGTGTGATCCTGAGCAAGTCACTCAACCCTGTTTGCCTCAGTCCCTCATCTGTAAAAATGAGCTGGAGAAGGAAATGGCAAATCCCTCCAATATCTGCCAAGAAAACACCAAAATGGTATCATGAAAAGAGGGATAAAATGGAAACAACTGAACAACAAGAAACAATGAAAGGAATCCTGGGTAATAAGAAATTACACAGAACAAAGTGCTCAGAACAGGAAATCAATTTCTAAATAAAAATGCATTTCTAAATTTTGACAAGGAAGGCAGGTAAAATAAATTGATTAACATTTTAAACCCCAAATCTTCATGTGTAAACATTGACAAAGACTTACAAAGTTCTTATTCCCTATTTCTTAACATAAATGAGTAGCAGATTGAGTGCTGACAAATAGAGTAATATTTTACACCTTCTTAAGTGGGAAAATGAAGTAGGAACACACAAAAGCTACTCAAGGAAGATTCTTTTCATGTCAGTGTTTATGCAGAAGGCATTTGTTTTTTCATTTTTTAATGCTAATCTATTTGTTTTATAAGCCTTCATTACTTGTCAAAACAATGAAATACATGCATTTTTCCTCGAGGATTTAATCAGCTTTTAACCAATGAAGAAATTATATTGTCAGAAATTCTGAACCAAATTTCAAAGAAATTTCCATTTCAAAATAACAGACAAGTTTTTCCATTGAAACAATGTGTACTTCAAAAAAAATCAGACCTATGGTTTCTTTAGTGTAGGGAGGAAAGGGCAACTAATGCAACTTCACCTAATCTAATCACTTAAAGTCTTAGAGAGATGCTTGGGGTACCAGAGAGGTTAATGTGTGTGTGGCTCGGGGGTGGGGGGTGTCACACAGCTAGCAAATATTAGATTTGATTCTACTTATTTCTGACTCGAGACCAGCTCTCTATCCATTCTGCTTCTCAAACAGCATATTATTTTACTACATAGCCTAGTATTAACTCTTAAATAGCATATTAATAGTTTATATTAATAGTTCTACAATTTGCCAAAGCCAAGCCATCCTTTTCCCTCTTTTTGTCCAATTTTAGGCCTTGCTCACTGCCCCTTTGTAATATCTATTGTGGACATATGTCTGTGGATGGATGAGCTATACAAGATATCATAGAATTCTTTTAAAGACCCCAAGCTTCTCCCTGACAGGCTTGCCTTTTTAAACACCAGCATTCTTTCCCATGATATCTTACAAGTATCAGTCATGGCATGTCACAGGCTCCAAAGAATTCAAATTGAGGATGCACAAATGGCAACAGAGAGAGGCCTAGTGTCAGAAGGCTGTAGACACGTTACCAAAAAAAACCCACTATTTTTGCAGAAGCAGCACAAAGAATTATGTAAAAGGTATCATCAGAAAAATGTAAGAACCTCCCCCCCCCATGGACTGGTCACATGGAGAGTTAGTTATAACCGATGGTCAACTGGCATCCATGCAAAGTCAAGGGAATTATAGGAACACCTCCCCGACACTCCCCTCCCCATCAGGTTTGTGTTGATTTATTCCAGACTCCTCGGTGCCGCAATCCCCAAATTTAGATGACTTCTTGCTCTGGAGGGAGAAAAAAAAAAACCCAGTTCAGATCATTAGGGAACATGAGTAGTAGGTATTCTTCACAAAGCCTGGATGAGGTAGGCACTCCATTCTCTCTTTATATAACAGGAGTGGGGGTTGGGAAAGATGTAGGATCCTTAAAAAGGAAAGATACATGTAAATCGATAGTTGGAGGCTCGCTGGTAGCAATTCTAATTTATTTCTCACTGGCCGCCCCTGCAAACTTTGCATTGGATCAGGGCACTGCAGGCCGCAAAGACAGGGCTTAAGTGAAACACTACTGCCAAAACTTAATGGGTCAAGGACCTCAGTGTGAGCTGGGTGGGTCTGGGGGAGTGGAGGGATTGGAAGTGAAAAGTGTGAACAATTCTGCCACAGCCAAGTGGGACTGCACAAGCACGTACAAGCTGTTTACACACGCACGAGAGTTAGTCTTCCTCTGCATTGCATAAGCTCACAACTGTTCCACCTGGGCATTGCAGGTGCCAACGCCTACCGACGTCCAGGTTAAACCAAAAGACAAAAAGGGCTCTTGCACGGAGACAGCCAAGCAGGAACTGAGGCCAGAAGCTTGAGAGGACCTCCCTCCGCCCTCCTTGGCCAGCCCAGGGAGGTCCCCGGACTTGCGGTTTCCAGGATCGGGGGCCTGCTTGCCTAGCCACGTGATCCTGTTCTCTGCTGGGGGTGTGAAGTACCGAGCCCGCCCCCGCCCCCTGAATCAGCATTCAAAGATAATCTCCCTCCCCGCACGCGCCTCAGAAGGCTGTTTACTCAGGTTCCGGGGCAGCGGCGGAAGCAGCCCGAGACCGCGGATCGCGCACAATCCCCTCGTTGCCAGGGCAGGAAGAAGGCGGGGCGTATCCAGGTTACGGGGCCGCTAGCTCGTCGGCGCTAGGAGGGGAAGGATGGAGGAGGCCGGAGCGGCGGCCGCTGGGGCAGGGGCCGGAGCCGGAGCCGCGGCCGCCGAGTCGGAGCTGAACCTGTCTCGGCTAGGCGTGTCCCCAGAGGCCCTGGCGCAGGAGCTGGAGGTGCGGGCCGAGGAGCGGCGAGGCTCCCGGGAGACGCAGCGGCTGCTGCTACCGCACAACCGGCTGGTGTCGCTGCCGCGGAGCCTGGGCGCCAGCTTCCCGCAGCTGCAGCTGCTCGACGTGAGCGGCAACGGGCTGGTGGCTCTGGGGCCCGAGTTGCTGTCCCTGCGCTGTCTGCGCACGCTGCTGGCCAAGAACAACCGGCTCGGAGGCCCCGGCTCGCTGCCCAAGGGCCTGGCGCAGGCGCCGCTCTGCCGCACCCTGCAGGTGCTCAACCTCAGCGGCAACTGCTTCCAGGAGGTGCCCGCCGCGCTGCTGGAGATGCGGGCGCTGCAGACGCTCAGCCTGGGCGGCAACCAGCTGCACACCATCCCGCCCAAGATCGAGAATCTCCAGAGGTGAGGTGACCCCCCCAGTGCGCCGCCTCCGGGGAGACCCCCCCTTCCTGCTCCTTCAGGGGAGACCCCCCCCGTACTCCTCCTCCAGAGGAGACCCCCCCAGTGCGCGGCCTCCGGGGAGACCCCCCCTACTGCTCCTTCTGGGGAGACACCCCCCCTCCTCCAGAGGAGACCCCCCCCAGTGCGCCTCCTCCGGGGAGACCTACTGCTCCTTCAGGGGAGACCCCCCCCCACACTGCTCTTTCAGGGAAGACCTCTCCTAGAGTGCCGCCTCCGGAGAGACCTCCCTACTGCTTTCAGAGGAGACCCCACTACTGCTTCTCCAGGGAAGACTCCCCTACTGCTCCTCCAGAGGAGAACCCCCTGCTGCTTCTCTAGGGGAGACCACCCTACTGCTCCTCTAGGGGAGACCTCTCTACTATTCCTTCAGAGGAGAGATCCCCCTAGTGAGCAACTTTTAGGGACCCCCCCACTGCTTCAGGGAGACTTCTCTCTGCTGCTCTTCTAGGGAGACACCCACTCTATTGCTTCTCCAGGGAGAGACAACCCTCCCCCCCACTACTTCTACAGAGGGAGGATTCCCCCCCTCTACTGCTCCTTCTAGGGGAGCTCCAGAGGAAGACCCCTCCCCCATTACTGCTTCCCCTCCAGGGGGAGATCCGCCTACTACTCCAGGGAGAGACTGCCCCTTCCCCTAACACTTATCCCCAGGGTAAGTATGCCATTTCAGCCTGGGAATCCCTCCAGTTGTTACATAAGGGGACACTAGGATTTTCACTGTAGGCTTTCTAGAACTGGTGGTGATTCTTACAAATGGTGGTTTTTATAAATCAGGTACTTCTCTCCATCTCCATTTTACAGGTGAGCACACTAAGCCCCAGCAAAGTTGAAATGACTTGGCCAAGGCCATTCATAGAGTAAAGTAGCTTTGTGGAAATGTGATAGAAAGAGGGCTGGCTTAGGAATCAGACCTTGGGCAAGACACTTAACCTTGCTGAGCCTTGGTTTCTTCATCTGTAAAATGAATGGTCTATATCAGTGGCATAGAACTCTGGTAGAAACAAGGTTTATTAAATGTGTATAAGGGCTGCTAGGTGGCAGAGTTCATAGAGCACTGGGCCTGGAGTCAGGAAGACTCATCTTCCTGAGTTCAGATTTGGCCTCACACATTTACTAGCTGTGTGACCCTGGACAAGTCACTCAGTTTTTTGTGTGTAAAATGAGCTGGAGAAGGAAATGGCAAACCATTCCAGTATCTTTACCAAGAAAACCACCAAATGGGGTCAGGAAGAGTCAGACTGGACTGAAAACAGTTGAACAATAACTACAACAAACATACATAAAGATCCCTGTGGGTAGGTTGACTTAGTTTTAAAATGTAATGTCATGTATGTTTTATTGTATTTTTCTTTTGTTAAATATTTCCCAATTACATTTTAATCTAGTTTGAGCTGCACTCAAGGAGTGTCATGGGCTGCATTTTTGATATCTTGGAATCTCACCTTCTGGAAAAGGTCTTTTCTTGGTCTCCCTCAGTGCTAGTTCCTTCCCTCTGAAATTACCTCCGGCTGTGTATTTCATACATACCTAGTTGTATGTTGTCTCCCCCATTAGAAGGTGAGCTCCTGGAGGGCATAGTAAGTAAGCCCTTATTGAATAGTAATTGACTGAATGAATAAACCAGGAGGCCTTGGGCAAGTCATTTAACTGTTCTAGGCCTCAGGTTCCTCATTTGCAAAATGAGAATGTTGATGTCAGGTTGAAAGACAGCTCGGGTTTGGAAGAAGACCTCTCTAGGTCTCAGTTTTCTCATCTATAAAATAAAGGAGTTGGACTAGATCAGGGATTCTTAACATGGGATCCTTCAACTTGTCTTTTTAATACTTTAATAACTGTATTTTGCTATAATGTTTTCCTTTGTAGTTGTAGTATTTTATTTTATGTATTTAATGTAATTAATTAATGTAATTAATTTGTGAAAGGGGGTCCATGAGCTCCACCACAGGAAAAATGTCAGAACCCCTGGAATAGGTGGTAAGGTGGAAAGGATGCTAGATATGGAATCAGAAGATCTTAGACAAGTCATTGAACTTCTTTCAGCCACAGTTACCTTATATGTAAAATGAGGGGATTGAACTTAGATGATCTTGGCTATCCTTTCCAGGCCTAAGAAAAACTGTCCTCTCACCCTCTGATTCCAGACTCCCTCCATTCATCACCTCATGACTCTGGTTTCTGTTCAGTTACCTCTAAGAATCACAAAGTAGTAGTACCAGAGTTGTAAGGGACTTCAGAGGCCATTGAGTCAAAAACCCTCTTTTTGCAGATGAGGAAACTGCTGCGCAGAGAAAGGCTGAGTGATCTGCCCAAAGTCATACAGTAAGTGGTGGAGAGGCAGGGTTAAACCCAAGTCCACTGACTTCAAGGCAGGTGCTTTCCCATTGTTCTTTGGCTGAGTTGTGTGGCCTTTGGCCTTTGTAACAGTGTAGTCTTTACGCTGCCACTGGCCATTTTCTGTTCACTGACACCTGTGACCTTAAAAATAAGAGTTTGCAATGGTTGGTGTTTAGCAGGGCACCCAGAGTGTGGAGTCTAGTGCATAGCTCCTTAATCACAGTTGAACAGGCTGAAAGAAGCTGGAGTCATAGAACATTCTGTACTGAAAAGACCTTAGGTATTAACTAATTTAATCCTTTCATTTTGTTCATGGGGAAAATAGGAACCAGTGAAGTGGCCTTGGTAGAGTTGGGACAAGATTCTGGGGCTCTTGAGGATTGACTGCATTTTCCACTATACCTCCAGATTTACTTAAAAATGACTTCTTATAACCACAGTCTGAAGGGAAGAGGTTTCTAGTGGACAGAGCACCAGGCTTGGAGTCATGAAGACCTGAGTTTAAATCTGGTCTTAGACATTTACAAGCTGTATGACCCTGGGCAAGGCACTTTACCCTGTTTGCCTCAGTTTCCTCATCTGTAAAATGAGCTGGAGAAGGAAATGGGGGTCACAAATAGACACAACTGAAAACAACTGAACAACAACAACAAATAATTTCACAAGTATAAGATGGGGAAGGTATGGTTAGTACTTACTCTGAAAAAAAAATCTAGTGGTTTTACTAGAAAACAAGTTCAATATGAGTGTACTGTATGATGTAACGGCCAAAAAATGCTTATGTGAACTTTGGCTACATTTAGAGAGGGGCATGCTTCCAGAGTAGGGGTGTAATAGCCTTCCTGTACTCTGCCCTCTCCCAGCATCGTTTGGAGTATTGTGTTCTCTTCTGAGAATCTTGCTTTAGGAAGCCAGGATGGGAAAGTGCCTTTAGTCTTGAACATGTGAAGATGGCTGAAAGGAAACTGGCCATGTAGCCTGAAGAACAGAAGACTCAGAAGGGCTGAGTCTGTCTTCACCTGTCTTCGAATATTGGAAGGACTGTCAAGTGAAAGAGGGCTTCTTTTATTGGGCTTGGCCCCAAGGGGCAGAACCAGGTTCAATGAGTAGAAGTTACAGACAGGCCAATTTAGGCTTGCTATGGGGAAGAACTTCCTGGTCTTCAATTAGAGCTGTCCCCCGTGGAAGGGTCTCCTCCAGAGGGGGTGGGTGCCCCCTCCTGGGAGGTCTTCAAGCAGGAGCTAGACAGCCACTTGTCAGGTACATTATAAAGTGAAGGCAGAGAGGGAACAGGGTGGTGGTTCCTTTTATGTATGGTTTGAACTAGCTGGCTGATTGCTGAGATTCTTTTTGTGATTCTGTGAAACCTGCTATATTTTTCTGTGTATTTGCCCTGTGACAGTGTCTTTCTAACAAACTTAAGGATTTCTTTTTTTTTCTTTCTTGTATGCTTTTTAAAAAATTTTATTAATTTATTTTGATTTATCAACAATCACTTTCATAAGCTTTTGAGTTTTAAATTTTTCTCCCCTTACCTCACCCTTCCGTCCCCAAGACAGCTCACAATCTGATATTGGCTATACATATACATTCTTATTAAACATATTTTCACATTAGTCGTGTTGTAAGGAAGAATTAGAACCAATAGGAGGAACCACCAGAAAGAGGAAACAACACACAACAGAAGAAAAAAAAGACCAAATATTACGCTTCGATCTGCATTCAGACTCTTTCTCTGGATGTGGATAGCATTTTCCATCGTGAGGCTTTTGGAGATGTCTTAGATCCTTGCATTGCTGAGAAGAGCTAAGTCTATCAAATTTAGTCATTGCACAACATTGCTATTACTGTAGACAGTGTTCTCCTGATTCTGCTCACTTCACTCAGCATCAGTCCATACAAGTCTTTCCAGATTTTTCTGAAATCCGCCTGCTCATCATTTTTTATAGCACAGTAGTATTCCATTATATTCATATACCACAACTTGTTCAGCCATTCCCCAATTGATGGGCATCCCCTCAATTTCCAGTTCTTTGCCACTGCAGAAAGAGCTGCTATAAATATTTTTATACATGTGGGTCCTTTTCCCATTTTTATGATCTCTTTGGGATACAGCCCTAGAAGTGGTATTGCTGGGTCTAAGGGTATGCTCAGTTTTATAACCTTTTGGGTGGAGCTCCACATTGCTCTCCAAAATGATTGTATCAGTTCACAACTCTACCAATAAGGCATTAGTGTTCCAATTTTCCCACATGTTCTCCAACATTTATCATTTTCCTGTTTTGTCATGTTAGCCAATCTGATAGGTGTGATGTGGTAGTCAGAGTTGTTTTGATATGCATTTCTCTAATCAATAGTGATTGAAAGCATTTTTGCATATGACTATAGATGGCTTTAATTTCTTCATCTGAAAACTGCCTGTTCATATCCTTTGACCATTTATCAACTGGGGAATGACTTGATTCTTATAAATTTGACTTAGTTCTTCTGTGTGTATTTTAGAAATGAGGCCCTTATCAGAGGCATTGATTATAAAAAATTCTTTCCCAGTTTTCTGCTTCCCTCCTAATCTTGGTTGCATTGGCTTTGTTTGTGCACAAACTTTT